GATGATAATTGTCCCGCGAGAGTGCCGTTTTACCCACGCCGTTGCTGTCGTCTGCTGTGTTGCAGGAAAATAAAACGGTTACATCCACCTATCATCGTCTGAGATCTATCTATATGAAGCCTCAATAAAGTGGAGCTGTGGTCATCAGGAGAAGTACCCTGTCACATATGTGAGCTGTTTTCCCCCCTTTCTTATTGATCGTGGTGGCCTGATTGTCATTGTTTCGGCCATTTTGCAATTTTTGTGGAGTTTGCATGTTTTAATTATGTGGATAATTAATACTACCATCTAAAGATCTATTTCTCAATAGAACAGTTAATGGATTACTTCATAAAATGGTGTATTTTACAGATATGCTTAATCTTTAAGTGGTCCATCTATAATTTCGTACATTTTGATTTTCGTGAATAATATGTTAAACCTGTTGAAAATGAGGACACACCCACAGAGGGATACTTAAGAAAGGTTAAGCAATGCGAAGCACTAATTGAATAGTTTTTTAAAAAGTATATTTTTTATTTATTTTTTTACAAAAAAAAACCTTTAGTAAATGCTTGTCCAATAGTCTCACTGAAACGTTCCCTGTAGCTAGCATAAAAATCGTTAAAAAAATTGTGTGAAAAGCTCCATGTGCCGGTTTGAGCTGACATCCTTTATAGCGGGCTGTTGCCTTGGCAGCGGGTTCGTTGGAAGTGGGCGGGCTCTAATCGGCTTGCCTCTGATTGGTCCGCTGCTCAACACCTCTCTTCCTCGTCGCTGAACCCATCGAAAGCGCTTCGGTCTCCACACGGCGAAGGAGCTGGATGTGCCTTAGAAAAACCTCTCTTACTGGTGAGTACAAAACAGACAGCTTCTCACGTATTGGGCATATTTCGTAAACACGCAAGCCTGTTCTTGTGGCGTTAATGTTGTTTGTGGGTTGAACGGCAGTATAGCGGACAGGTATCAGCCCGCTGGTCCGAACAGAAGAAGGATGGAAAATTCTAGCTCGCCGCTTGCTTTTTTTAACGTTGACTTTTTCTTTTGTGTGTTGACTTCTTTGGAAAAAGTGTTTTAGCTTTCGCTTTTGTGGCAGGTGTGAACTTGTCTTCACCAAACTGCCGTGGGGTGATGTAACATGGGCAAAGGGTGTCTACACACTCCCAGCCTCCCTGCATAGTTTGTTTAGGCACAATGCCTTACGCAACCCCTTTTCTGATGAGACGCCCGGAGCACGTGTTTTTATTTGAGATCAGCTCCGCCGTCGGAGGACTGTTTGCACATAGGTATTTCAGTGAATAGATGCGTTTGCATGCTCCGTTGGAGAAAAGACATCCAGCGGGCGCAGGCTTTGGTTCATTAGTTAAATCACGTTAAACCAACAGCATAGCACGGGACTGCTCAGATGACTTCCCCCAGTACGCCGTGTCCAGTGGAACCATCGTGCTTCTCATGAATCCTTTTGTTGGTTTTTTTTCTTCCAGCACGATGACAACCCTTGCAGAGACGAAGGAAGTCTTCAGGAGAGCTGATGCTGTCTGTTTTGACGTGGACAGCACAGTCATCAAAGAGGAGGGCATCGATGAGCTTGCCAAATTCTGTGGCGTTGGAGACGCAGTCAGAGAGATGTATGTGAGCAGGGTGTCTGTATTTTTGCACACATGCTGTTAAGAACACAATTCTTTAATTTCTCTTCACTCCCGTTCATAAACTTCAAATCATGTCACCGGATCTAAAGTTCCTTTTGCACCTTTCAGGACTTGTAAAGCCATGGGTGGATCAATGACCTTTAAGAAGGCCCTGACTGAGCGTCTTTCCATCATCCGATGCTCCAGAGAACAAGTAAACAAGCTGATAACAGATCACCCACCTCAGCTGACTCCAGGCATCAGGTGAGTGTGTAAAGAGTTTGACAACACCATTCAGCTCAGCAGACAGTTTCCAGCTGCAAGCAGAAAATGCGTAAATATGTCCTAAACGTCTTGTTTAGCTGCAATCCAGTCTGCCCAAGCATACATAAAATGTTTTAATAATTGGTAATTAATAATGTACAGTACTAAAACAATATAACAGAATAAGAATTGGCTTTCTAAAACCTTTAACTTCAAGTTGTGTTACTTTTGTAAAGTATGAAATGTTAAATTATCTTTAAAGATTTTATGCATAAAGTGAAAGGAAGCACATTCCAATCCAAGAAGTTTCTAGGAAATAAACACTGCAAAACCAAATATTAGAGAAATATTTCTGATGGAAATTAGGGAATAATGAACATCAGAACATCAGCCGAGTGACAAAAACATTATTTTTATCCCCTGTAATAACATTTAAAATAATAATGTATGACTAATGTATTAATGTAAGCGCTGGCACGGGGGGGCGCCATTCGTCTGTTTAACAGCTCAAATATGTTCCCAAAAAAGAGCTGTGTTTTAAAGGCGCCTACTTGTGATAACTTCTGAGTGAGAGAAAATAAACATGACAATTAATGGCAAAAAAAGCAAGATAAAAAAACAGATGAGTAAAGGATGCCGATAGGTTTCAGGTATAGTTAAATGGTTGTGTTAGTAATGATGACTGTTTCATTAAAGAACCCTGTTATTCAAGTCCCACAACATTAATATAAAAATGCTTTATCTCTGGAGTTGATAAGTGTTCGTTCCTCTCTGCAGGGAGCTTGTGGAGCGCCTGCACCAGCGCAACATAAAGGTGTTCCTCATTTCGGGAGGTTTCCGCTGCATTGTGGAGCACGTGGCCACCCAGCTCAGCATTCCTCTGCATCACGTCTACGCCAACCGGCTCAAGTTCTACTTCAACGGTGAGGCCTCGGGGCAGGTTCCCGCCCCTCTGCTCTCCTCTCTTTCACCCTGTCTGAGCTTTAGTTTCTGAAAGAAGTCTCTGATCTCTTTCCAGGAGAGTACGCTGGTTTTGATGAGACTCAGCCCACGGCGGAGAGCGGTGGCAAAGGGAGAGTGATCAGCATGCTGAGGGAGCGCCACGGCTTCAAGACGGTCGTGATGATCGGAGACGGAGCCACCGACCTGGAGGCCTGTCCTCCAGCTGTAAGTGCCCGCACGCATTCTTTAGAGAACCGCTCACAATCCCGGATAACTGAAAGGCTCTTCTCCGCCCTCAGAGTGCCTTCATTGGATTTGGGGGGAACGTGGTGAGGCCACAGGTGAAGGAGAGGAGTTCGTGGTACGTGACCAGCTTCGAGGAGCTGCTAAGGGAACTGGAGAAGATTTAGAGATGCCAGAAGACTACTGTTACTAAATTAACATTTTATATTTGCACCCAAAGGTGTGCCACCAGTTGTTTTATCTGTTGCACCCTTTTCCTTAGACTCCAGTAGTTTTATAATGAATGCAACTGTTTACGCAGGTCAAATTTTTACCATATTAGGGATGTTTCTCTGATGACTTTTATACTAGTACATGCTAAAACAAAAATAACCAAACACTTTCTGTGTGTGCGTTAAGAAGATTTTAGTGTTTTTGCACTTTTCTAGGTAGGTAAACACAACTCCTTTATGTAATGGTTTGTGCAATGAGAGAAAAACGTGTTGTGTGCTATAAAAAAACCCCAGAAAATATTGGCTCCTGATCAGAGTGGCTTCGGTTCTGAGGAACATCAGCATTAAAGATACGAACGTGCTCAAAAGGAGGTCTGAATTACTTTAATTGTCGGTGCTTCTCATTTTCGAAAAAAAAGATTTTGAAATAAAAAGATCATAATAAATGTGGTTCCCTTAATGAGTTCATTATGAGAGTACAAAGCAGTACAGCTGTCATCCTTCCACCAGCTTCACCGATGAGCAACACCTTTCCACACATATGATTTGTTTTATTTTTGGCCTCGTTAAAGTGTTGTTGGTTTAAAAACAGGCATGCTGTCACAAAAAAGGTGGAAGCCATAGCTACAAACACAGCACCATGACACGTTAACGTTACTGTTTAAGGGGTTATAAGAACGTCCAGGAAAAGCAGCCGAGAGGAGTTAACTGTGTGGGTATGACAGCAAACAGAGATCAGTAGGAGCTTCCATCGTGAATGGCAACAGAAAGCTTTCTGTTTGTTAATGACTATAGAGAAGATTCATCGTTTCAATCAGAAATTACATCAGTGTCAGTTTCTCAGCACATTTCAAACACTTAGCTTTCTAACTTTACACAAAATAAATAAAGAGTTCCTGCATTGAGCATCAGCAGTAAAGACCCCCCCACCCCCCACACACACACATTAACAAACCTGATAGCTGCTCAATTTTTTGTTTTCAAGTAACTTTCCTGCCAGAAGTTCACAAATGCTCTCCATGTCAAAACCTTAACTCTGCTTCCGATTCCCCCAAAATAATGTTGTGCGTGGTCCAGAGCTTGCTACCTTTCAGTAACTATAATTTCAGATGAATAGCAGGTATTGCTGCCTTCTTTGTCCAAGTGACATCTTGAAGTAAAATAAAGCAAAGATAAGAGACGGGGTATTTGGTACTGACAAGAGGTTGGACCATGACAGCAACTCTCTAGATGGATGTAACATTCAAATGGATGCCACTTGACTTCAGATTCCAGCTGGCTTCTCATTTCACTGCAGTGGAGAAGCCTTTGTTGGGATCATGATCCTTGAATCCATGTGCTGAATGAGAGGAACTGCAGGGATGTGGAAAGGAAAGAGAGGATTCGGTTTAAGTTTACGGCCCATTTGATGCTGACCATTTTCAGAGAACTTGGTAAAGTCCTAACAAATCCGTGGGGGGGCTCAAACCCATCACATGCTGATTTATTGCTCACCCGTGTAATAGACCGCCTCATGCCAGCCCTCCTGCTGCCAGGCTCCGTTCCTCGTCTCTTCTCGGGACTGAAGATCTTTGTAAGCTAGAGTAAAACAAGAAAAAGACATCACTGCATTTCCATTTTTAATCAGGCTGATAAATTAATTTGCGATAATTTTTGTGACTGTAGCTTAAGAGATGTAATTTCACTTGGAAAAAAAAATATTTAAGGTAGCACATGTTTAATACACTGAGCCAAATTGTCTTATTTTGGCTCCATTTGGTTCTCCAACAACATTTCAGAAAAAAAAAGAAAAAAGATGACTGCAGTCAGAACAAACTGAAACACCACAGCTGTCAGCAGGATGACAAAACTATGAGCCAGCAGAAAGTGCTATGGTGAACAAACAGGAGGTACACAATTCCTAACTGACAGAACAAATAGTTGAAAAATATCAGTCACTGTTTAGTTAACTGTCTGGAGGAACAAACTAGGCTACATTTACACATGGTAGTGGTTACTAATGGAAGACACGGGGGTCTTTAACTGAATAAACACCACTCAAGAAGAAAACTAAAATACAAGCAAAATCCAGATGTAAAGATATTTTTCCCCATAGGGAAAATTGTAATGATCATATAATAAGATAAATACTGGATACATTTTGTTTGCTTACATTAAGTTTGATAATTTTCACTCAGTTTAATACCAGCTATTTGTTCTTTTTTAAGAAAACCTTAACGACTTGCAAACTTCTGTAACTTCAGTCACCAGAAGTGTTGACTGTTGAGGCAGTGTGATAATGACTGTGTCTGTGTAAACTGGTCGTACCCCAGAGGTGATGAACCATGTAGAGATTACCGATCTGTGAGAAAAACCCTCCCACAGCCTCACTGTTGGCCTGGCGGTATCCGATGGCTCTGGCCCTGCAGACGAAAACAGCTGCGGTCATCTGATGTAACAGGAGCAGTCCTCAGAGAGGGAGTTCAACAACATGCAGGTCTGTAAGGCCGTACAGCTAATGCACAGCTGTGTGTATGCTTGGACCAAGTAAAGGATGTTTTCAATTGGGCTTTCCCCAAAGGTTAATCACTCAATTGAGCTGCAGATGTAGTTTGGCCTGGCCATTGAACTGGACCTCTGTGTGTCCGACAGCACTACAAGACGCCCTGCTGACAGACGTTCTGTGTGAAATCCCCACACATGTAAGCACAGCTGAACTCACAGCACAGACACTGTGTTTTGTGTTACATTAATGGTGATTCTGTCAGATTGTGCAGAATTGATATAATCCGGACTATGTTAGAAAGGAACAACGGTCTAGTGGAAAGTGAGTTAACTTGTATTCTTGTCATTATTTCTGAAGTGTTTCAGACAAAAAAAAAAGTGTGAATAAAAGCAGGCGTCCATTTCTGTTGGACAAACACGTTTAAAATTTTTAAAGTACAGGTAAGCTTTCCAATACCCACACAAAAAAATTCAATGTGCAGTTTTTTCAACATGTGCTCAGTGTCAAAAAAACTGCATGTTGTAGTAATTTGAGAGTCGAAGTTTCAGCCTCCAGTATCATAAATCATTGTGATATTGCTCCAACTGGCTTTACTGATAATGTTTGCTGGGGTTATTCAAACGACAGCTGCTTAGAACCAGGATAAATGCAAACACACGGGAAGAATCAAACTGGCTTAAGTTTTTTTCTTAAACTGTTGTGTTTTCTATTGTGTTTTCCACCTGAGTTTATTCAAAATGACATCCATGCTGTTAATGGCCATGATGGAGTGAGCCACGAGGCCTCCAAGCAGAGAAGCAAAACATAATTCAAGAGTATTAATTCAAAATTCTAAACAAGATGGTGTCACTCTGAGATGACAGTTTAAATTGCTTTGGAAAGGTCGTCATGCTGTCATATGTAATCAAACGAAGTTTGTAACGGCTAGAAAAATGGGTGACAAGCACAATGACCACAACACAAAGAAATGCACATATGGAAAGTCTTTATGTCAACTGATCATAATCTAATGAGCTGCAGCAACTAATACTGATCTGTGCAGAGTACACTTCCAGATTCAAATGATTCCATTACAAATGCTATTTCTAGCATACACACGACTTCACTTAACTTTAAATCTTGGCAAGAGGTCATGACAGCACAGTTTCAAATAAAGAGCCTCGGTGGAATAACTCTTATTAATGACAGTGTGACGAGGGAGGTTTCATGTAGTGCAACTGTTCTGTAACTACAGTTCAGTGTGTCAAATGAATTCAGGCTGCCTTACCAGTAATTACCCCACTCGATCATGGTTCCTGCCTGAAGCCACGAAAACACAAAATACTTTAGTACAATCACACACACACATTACAGCCAGCTTCATAAACTTCTTCTTTCCAGATTAAACATATTAACACAACCGAATGTGAGGGACGTGCAAAGGTGGTTCGTCACAGTGAAGATAAGCTGCAATAACAACTGCACCCAAAGGCTTCTTCAATCATTCTCTGAGGCCCGAGACAGCAAAACGCCGGGCCGCTCAACGGATGCAATCTCAGCCAGTGATGGAGGATAATGGCTATCATTCATCACAGGCAGCGTTGATCTACTGGGGATTTGGCCTTTAAGGATAAAAAGAACGACTTCATCTGCAGGAGATGGCGTCATCTGGTGTGGAGGTTGGAGCAGGTTAAATAGTGCTCTTGAGAATCCGCACATAGTTTACAAAGTGAATGTTCAACTGATAACTGCTCGTTACACCTGGTCTGTCCACGGGCCTGATAACTACACACAGACGCAGCAGTTGAAATAGAAATATTTCATCCTATCACAGAAATAAAGTGTTACTTAGAAAAAACCTGAGTTATGACGAATGGCAGCGCAATGCCGAAACAATGAAGGCATTTCAAAGACATCCATGTTGTACTTGGAGTCACAAATCCACACAATCTAATCTTTTTCATCCAACATTTTTGCCACTGTTCCCCGTTTCTGTAGTCTGGTATTTTTCCATCGACTCAGTTATGGTGCTACAGACATCTGCCATGAGCCCCCCCCCCTCCCCGAAGAAAAGCTTAGCACATTTGATCAAACTAAAGAGAGCCAGTGCCACCGGCTGCAGGAGCTGGACTCACCCTGAGCTGGTAGGACCTGAGCTCGTAGATGTGGGGGCCCTCTCGTGGAACAGGCTCGTTCCAGAAGCTGAACTCTAGCAGGAGCTGATTTCTGCGGGACAGAAGCATCTTTCCGCGCTCCTTCCTGTAAGCTGTAAACTCCTGACATCAAGCAGACGTGATCAATGCACTTTGCCTCAACTGGCTGGGCAGGAGTGACACCGAACGGACACACAGGAGTTATGCTCACCTTATTCTGCCTGAGCTTGTTCATCACCTCTGTCAGAGCTGGATATCCACCTCTGTAACGCCACAAATGAACTGGAGGAGCAAAAGTAAACATAAACATAACAGGTCGAAAGACGGGCGCATGAAACCACACTGCATAGCAAAAAGGGCCAATCTCTATCAGTAGCTGGTAAGACAGCGATTTTTTTAATGTTCTGAATTATATTTAGCATTTGGCTTTTTGATTGGTTACTTGGTTTCAGTAAATACAGATAACGACCCACTACTGAACGGCAAAAGTGTCTGTGTGTTGAAATGAGTACTCCTACCAGCCTGGTCTTGTTCTCCATACCAGGTATTCCAGGTTCCCACCAGCTCACAGGGATAGTACTTATCAGCATGTATAGAGGGCAAAACATCCTCACTGTGACGAATGAGAAACCAAACTGAACCAAACACTACAGACCTACATCTGACAATTAAAAGTTCAAACTCACTCTTGAGCACTACCCTGACCACACATCTGCTATCTTATGTTCCGAGTCTCCAGTCTGTTTCGGGCACGAGAAGACTTTAGTTATGCTGACCTGCCAATCGCCTCACAGAAATAGACTGCTCTGAGATGTTTCTTTGGTGTCCTACTTCAACTACAATACACTGTACACATATTGACTGTAACAGGAGATGAGACTCACCAGAGTTTGTTGTATGCATCCAGGCACTCTGGCTTGACGTTATGGACTGAAAAGAACAGGTTTTTATTATTATCTGAGGTCACGTGGTTCAATCCTGAGGATCTGGTGTTGGTGTGGTGACTTACATTGAATTTTATAGAGGTTGCTTTCCTCGTTTTTGGTCAATAAGTTGGAGTGTGCATCCTTTCTAGGATCAACCTTCCTCACAAACAGGGATTTGAACCAGCTGTCCTCTCTTTCTCTGCTGCTGGACGTGGCAAACGCTCTGCAAACACAGACGAGGCAGGTTGCAGGATGCTGTCTAGAAAGGCGTTTTGTTTATGGCAACTGAAATAGTGCAATTTTCAGGCAACAACAAATCTTGAGCTCTGTCAGGCAGAAACAGCAATGTGATATTTCCAGTGAACCTAAATAAATAACAAGCTGACCTTGAGCAGTAAAGAAGCTAAACCACCAAAAGATGACAGAAAGTTGACTTATTTCACTTTTGCCAACAAATGCACACAGCTCTCATCTTAACCGTATCTAGGTTTAATAAACGCAAGGTGCAGCTTGTGACTGTGGTGAGACTCAAGGCCACACAGAGAGGCTAGCAGGGAACGGGCTAGCATCGCAGGGCTCGTCGCAGAGAGACAAAAACAACAGAAAATAACACACAACGGCCGACACGAGACGCTTCGGAAACGACAACAGAGCACACACGACGATGACCGCGCACCTGACCCAGACCACGACCTGTCCGACCGAGTGGGCCCTGAAAGTAGCCGGACCCAAGCCTCCGCGGACTCTCTGAAGGACTCCAGTCGCCATCTTCAACTGAGCTCCTGGAGCGGACGCCTCCCGCCTCCGGCCACCAGGTGGCGGCGAAGCACCGCGGCCGCCTGCTCCCTGTGGCCGAGACACAGGAGGGCAAGCAGAGATTCACCTACAGGTTGTCGTCTGCACTCTGTAACTAAAGGGTTAAACGTTTAACTTGTTAAATTCAGAGTATTTTGTTGAAATTATCAACGCACCTGAAAGGAATTTGCAATTAACGCCGCGAGCTGCTGCATTATTGACACCAGCTTTGATTGGAAATTATCTGAGTTACACTTGATCCCTAAAGGGAAATTCTATCATTAAAGAATTCAAACCAATTCAAAGGAGTTTAATAATCTTTTGCGAGCTGTTAGAGTGACAAACATTAGGGTGTTTGTTGTTAATAAGCTCTACAGTGCCTTTTTCAAACTCCAGCTGCTTTGGGTCTAGTTTTTGCTCTGTTGCATGACTATAAATATGATGTGCTTTGATTAGACGTAAAGTAAATGTTTTGCAGATCAGTGCATTCTATTTTCACTGATAATTTACCAGCACTGTTTCCAGAAACACTGTTTACCACAAAACATGATTTGACATCATGCAGACACAACATCGCAGTAGGGTTGGATGCCGCAGTTTGTATACAAGGCGACCAAAGTTTATTTGTACATATGAAAACACACCAATTGAGTTGTCATTGGGCAAAAGACGGAGTACACCCTGGGAAGGTTGCCATCAAAATGTGAAATGCCGTCAAAATTCATTTTGTGTAAACAGTGTCTCACAGTGAACATCAAAATTTCCTAAGCAATAGCAAGTTGATAAAAAGTGAGAGTCAAAGAAGTTCGTTAACTTTTTCAGTTGCAGCAATCAACTTTTTTAATGGCTGATTTTAACTTCTCACAACAGAGGAAACACATGTAGAATCTATAAAACCAACAATTATTCTGTTTTATTTGGGGAATTCCATGCCAGTGAGCCAACGCAGGACCAGAAACTTTGAGCAAAAACATATCAATCAGTGGAGCTTTATTAGCTACATCTGTCGCTTTCCTGTTTTAAGCCTTTAAAAATTGTGTTTATCACACACCCTGTTTCCTCTCAGACTAAGTTCGTGGTGGATCAAATCCAACAGTTTAATTCTCCTTACCTCACATCCCACATGCAGAAATCGGAGGAATTAATTCTTTCTGTGGAACAGGTGTCTCCTTTATATTATTTTTGGCCTTTTCTCATTTAAAGAGAGAAGGGAAACAAGGACAGGAGGCTCCGAAGTGCAAAGACAGTATGAAATATACAGTATCACAGAGCAAAATTGTGCGCGGTGGAGAAAAAACGGTGCCGGAGTTCAGATGCTGACAGTCACATCATGAAGTATTGAATCTCAGCAGACACATTCAGCTATTTTTGTGTGCTCGCTTTTCAGAAGTTTATTTTACGTTGCTTAGCAGGTGGCAGGGCTGCATTCACCATACTTAAAGCTGACATATAATTCAAAATCCAATCCCTGCAGAGAAGACGTTACTTCTGATAAGGAAGTGAAATCCAAAGACTTTTACATGTTGAGGATAGGTTTAACATCCTGTTGGAGAAAGATGAGCTGCTGTATTGACTCTTAAAGGTCTCCAGGAAGAGCATGTCACCGCGGCAGGATCTGGCTACACACAGATGATTGAGGGGGCAATGGGGTTGCAACCATGGAGGAATTCAGAAGAGTTGAGATTGATTTATCATTTGACAGAGTGACTGTGATGCTAATGGGGACCATATTGCTAAAGCTTACTTGGCAACTTTACCACCAGTGGAATTCAGAAACTATGGAGAGATTTGTTCTAAGTTCAAATCCATGAATCATAAGGGAGTGTTTGCTCTATGAAACATTTTTGAACAACAAAAGTTAAAGCGTGGATATGTCTGGGAATTTAGGGAATGACTCTATCCCAAAAAATGTACTCTTTTACATTGGAAGTTTGTCGGGGTTGCTACTTTTGGGTAGTAAACATTTACTTGTGTACATGTACATGTGTACAGAATCATTAATTAAACCAATATCGATCCATTTTCTGTTCCCACTTTTTTGTTTCAGGAGGAGGATTGCTGTAGCCTATCTCACAGGCTGTCAGACCAAAGGCAAGGTGCGCCCTTAGATGCATGAGTTAACCATCCATGCATGTTGTTGGTTGCTGGAGGAGGCCGGATCACTTGGGAGAACATGAAAATGAACACGAACGCCGAAACACGGCAGCAGCGATTCAAATCTATCTGTGGGGTGACAATGATAATCAACACAAAAACATGTATCTCACAATACCCTACATTTAACATTTTGACATATGTATGAATATGCATTCCAGTTAAATGGACACTCCTCTATAAATATTGCTGTAACACTTAGCAGCGCACTTAGTGCTTTAAATTAGACCAGTAGAGCACTTACAGTGTCAGTTTTAATTTGAGGGGCCTGATCTTTATTTCTAACAAACTTAGTGGGACATGGAATAGTTTCACAAAGAGTGAATTTTATTAATGGAAGAAGTGAGATCAGCTTTAAAACAAAGAGCTCCAGTCTCTCTGCTCCAGCTGTACATATAAGGTGCTCATTTGCTGGTATAGAAAAAGGTGTTTTGTTGAGTCTTGTTGAAATGTTAACAGAACCTTTCATCCATTTAATGCCTGTTCAAATCTCAGCAGAGCTGTATTTTAAAGGGGGAAAAATCCTGTTTTTAAGTGAACACACCAAGTACTGAATATCTTCATCTGAAGCATCCTTAATTCAAGTTAGTTGTTCCACATTGGCTCTGTAATTGTATAATGATATTAAACTATCTCAAGTCAGTTACTGTCATGATCACTCAGTCATGAGATCTTTTCATGCCCTCACAGCCTAACAGACTTCCATTCTTCAGCTCATCTATTTGCAGGTGATTTACCGAATCAGCTGTGATTTTTTCACTGTCCTTTTCTGGTAACGTTGGCTTATATGTGATGCATTAAAGTCTATTCTTGAGATTACATGAAGTTATTTGGCAAAAGTAGCCTACTCAAAGAGCGCTTTGTAGCTTTTCTAAACATGAAAACATTTCCGTCACAGAGACAACTGCGCAACCCTGAGAGCATGTGATTGGCTTGGCAGCTATGAAAAAAGGCCCTCTTTCAAAATTGTAGCGTGGACTTCTTCTGAAATACTAATCTTGGCCCTCAGAGAGGTTTTACTTTGCAAAGTAAGTAGATAGATGTTTCTCGACCATTCAAGCTTTTGAAATATCAAACATTAAACCTCACAGTAAGGAAGAGGAAAATCTGAATGTTGCATTTCAACCCTCTCTTTTGTCTTTTTTATCCTTTAAAAAAACCTGACCTGAATATATGACGTATGCCGTTTGCACAACATTTAGTAAAGTGGGTCTTTGAATAGCTGCCTTCAGTCTGCTCACTTCTCGGCATGCTGGTCTTGATATCACAGATTTTCCTTTTGGTAACAATGAATTTCTTCAAACCAAGGCTTTGAGAAGAGCAGCTGTGAAAGCAGCTGATACCAATCCTCTCCTAACACACCAGAAAGCATGCATGCATTTATCATGGAGTTTAGAAAAATGAAAAACGCATACACTCTTTAACCCACAGGGCTTAGCCCCTTACCCCTGTTCATATACAGGGGGGATCTTCTGTAAATTGAATCTCTTAAAGCCAAATTATCTAACCGGCTGTCACCACAGTTTCCCACTCCTTCCTCTTATTATTTTTGGCTTGGTAACATACATGCATGCTGGTTAAAGCTCTCCAGCAAATGCCGCTGGATGTGTGAGAAAATACTTTGGACATTTTGTTTATAGTCTTTCAGCTTATCTTTTCTGGGTACCGTAGTGAGTGAACGCAGCTCAACTGCACACAGTGGCATGAAAGCATTTATGATGTCTGATATAAGTGGAAAACTATCCAGGAATGAGTGTATGTTTATATAAAAATAATATAATCTAGATAAGAACATGGCCGTAAACTATCTTAACTGCTCCTGCGTGGTAAACTGTTTGTGAGAAAACATCTGTGAAGGAGTGGCAAACGTACTATTTGTAGAAAACACGGCACACTGTAATGTATGAAGGGATTGCTGTCTCCAACAGCTTTCACCAAGTATTTAAACATGTTTTAACTATGAAACCAGCCAAGACATATACAATAAGTATTCAACATATAATTTTGATTATTTATTTTGTTCCTATGGGCCTCAGATTCAGAAAATGATGTCCTGCTCTGTTTCCAATATCGCTGGGTTGCTGGGCAAAGTGTCCCTACAAACAGAATGTAATAATTTGCGAAAGATTTAAACCCTATGTTTTGGTTCACAGATAACATATCAAATGTTAAAACTTTAAAAATCCTTTTGAAGCAGATCTGCAAATCCTTCATTTCAATGCCAGGAACACGTTTCATAAAAAGTGTGACACAGGGAACAAAGGCCTGGAAAAGTTACAAAAAAGGATATTTTGCAGGATGTTAGAGGGTAGAAATGAGCTTGGGCAAGCACTCTGTAAAAGACATTTCAACCATTTACAAACAATGGAATTCTTTAAGGGAATCAAGGATGCTGAATCCTTTGAGCCGAAGAGAAGAGGGAGAATGATGCGATCTGCAGACAGTTCCAACTCCGTCAACCATGAAGTTATCTGGGTGGGTCAGTGCCCAACTCTGGTGCTATTTGCATTTCAGTGCAGTCAACACTAATGCTGGAAAATGCATTGATGGTTAAAAGCATTGTATGGTTCCATACAGATGTTTTATTTTTCTGGGTTGGATCTTGCTTATAAGCAGAAACATGCCAAGCCACATTCTTCATGTTTTACAACCGATTTCTGCAGTAAAAAGTCCAGATAATAAACTTTCTGCCTGTAGCAAAAACCTGTTACTTACTGATATCATAAAAAACACAACATACCATTGAGAAAAGAGCATCATTTTCAAATGTTATTCAGTTATCTTTTTCAGAAAATCAAATTCAAAATAAATTTAATCTTGCCAGAAAGACCCAGTCCAATTTGAACCAACTATATCCAATGACATTAACTGAGTTAAATCTTTTCTTCGATTCAGTTTCCTGTACCGAAGGTGCTGGATGGA